CCAGGGCTGTGGGGATGGAAACTCAGCCTGGAAAGGGCAAGTGTGGAGACACACACACCTGAGCCAGCAGGTCTGGAAGCACGTGAGCTATTGGAGGGGAGACTCATTAGTACCTCGGTGTCCACTGGGGTGTGGCCTGCTGGGACTCATGGAGCGGGAGGCCTAGGACTGTGTCTGCCCCCACACCACCTGCTGTGCCCCACTGAATTCGGCCTCTCTGCCTGCACAGGACACACTTGATGCGGCGCCAGGCCCAGCGACACTCACCAGCACCCCCCGGAAAGCAGGTCGCCCACTCGTCAATAACCCAGTTCTTGGCGCTATCCCCAAGGGACACCTCCGTAGCGTGTGTCTGGAGGCCATGTGGTCCACAGGGCCGCAGATATTGGTGGACTTTGCAAGCAGAAGCTGGGTGAGGGTCTGACCTCCAATCCGCCTGAAACAAGGGACACTTGGAACCCGGGGACACTGACAGGCCCGGTCACACCCTCATCCTGGGCCCTCTCGAGAATTCACTGAGCTGCCCAGGCACCCACAAAGCTTCCAGAGACAACTGAGAAGTAGGGTGAAGGCGAACAGTAAGTTTCAATGCCTCCCCAGGCTGCTCCAACTAGATGGGAGAGCGGCTGCTTCGCCTGGTCCGCAGAGCCTAGCACAGAACCACAGGAGAGAACAGGACAGGCCTCAGGGAAGACCTGAGTGAGCTGGAGACCCGCACTCCGCCCAGTGAAGAGCCACAGCGCTGGTCATCCACACTCACCAAATCCGGGAGCGTCAGGCAGGCGCCACGAGCGGGAAGCGAAGGGTATGGTAACAGCCTGGAGAAGGCAGGCGGCTCAGCAGCAGTGCTGGGACCTGAGCAGCAGCTGGAAGAAGAGCGGTGGGTCTCCCCGGCTCAGCAGGGCAGTCGGAGAACAATGAGGAAAACGGTCGCCTCAGGGGCCTGTTAGCATCCAGGGGGGACCACGTGCATGATGTAAGGGCCCCAGCAGAGCGAGGGGTAAGGGTCAGAACTTATTTGAAGAAACAGTGGCTGAAAACAGCCCCGAAGTGGGAAGCCCGGAGTCCAGGCCCAGGAAGCGAGCTCCAAAGACGCTCCTGGAGACGCCACGGCAGACACGGCGGGGCGCACTGTCACCCGCGGCAGGCGAGGGAGCAGCAAGAGGAAGACAGCTCGTCACTCCCACGGCACCCGCCCAGCCTGTCAGCGGAGTCTTCGCCAGGAACCGCATGCAGTATTCAAAGTGCCGAAAGGAAGAAACGTGCGATAAGCGGTGTCAGATACACAACCCCAGGATCGTCACCTGCGCCAACAGGTATGGAGCGAGCATGCCTCTCCCTGCCTACGACAGCCTGCACGCTCCCCCCGCCGCCCTTCGCGAGTGACAACTCACTCTCCGCCGCCACTCAGGCCGCGATGTTGAGAAGCGTCCGGCACGGCCCGACCATGTCCTCCTCCCCCTTGCGAGGCACTTTTAGAAACTTCCAAAGGCTGTGCCCTCTCGAGGATTTAGAGGAGTGCCAGAGCTCCACCTTAGTTAACAAAATAAAGCATAACAGTAATTTAGGATGACGACACCTTCGCTTTCAAGCGGAAAAGGAAAATGATCTAGCAGAGCAGGCCAGCGATGTGTTCCGTTACGCTTCGCTGTCCACAAAGCTAGGCTGGACTCACTCGTTCAAAGTTGGTTTGGGAGATTTCGTAACGACTGCACTTGCAGGTGACGAGAGCTGTCCACACTCACAGTCATCACCGTCTGAAGCTCCTGAGCACAGAGTTGGGTTGGTGTGAATGGCACTCAAGGAGCAAATTGTGTAGCCGTAACATTAACTTCACAAGCTTGAAACACCCATAGGGGCGGCTTGTCTGCGTGTGAATCAGAATGATGTAGTCCACACCAGCTAAGAATTCGCCTAACCCTCCAGCCTGTCCACACCATTACCCGTCCTCTCAGACTTCCCCACCGCCGCTTTCCTGCAGGCCGGCCGCCTGGCCTGGGCCGCTGACACCAGTTTTTTCCAAGCGCCGCTTCACTTTTTTCTGGGAAAAAATCATCATAATAAAAATGATTACAGCTTATGAAGTGCTTTTCAGCTTCCCGTTGATTTACAAACATGAATTCATCACTGTCCAAGAACAGGCACCTCCAGTGCAGCCGTCCACTCCAGGAGTAAACAGGAAACCTGCAGAGATTTCATCCTGGCTGCCTTCCTAGGCATTGACGGGGAGCGGGCGAAAGACGGTTTTCCACATGAGGGTTTCGCTTCTCGCTCACTAAGCTGCAACTTGCTGCCTTTATTTAAGGAGCCGGCAGGTTTGCCTGTCTCCTGAGCTTTCCTCGGGAAGGGCAAGCGTCCCATAAGGTGCGCTAAGTACAATGCGAAGTGCACGTTACGAAACAGGAAAAGAATTTAACATCTCTGATGTGTTCTCCAGAACCATTAATCCCAAGAATTTTATTTTTATTTATTTCTTGCAAATCCAAATGGAACAGTAATTTAGGAGGACGACACCTTCACTTTTAAACAGAGAAGGAAAACCATCTAATTGGGCGGGACGGTAATGTATTTATCTACCCAAATCTGGAGTTCAGTTTACCTTATTATTTTAGTTTACCTTATTATTTTAGTCGGGCTTATAAAAATTACTTATTTTCCTAAGAAAACCAAGGAAAAACAAATTGCACAGCAGTTGGGTTGCATAGTAAGAGCTTCTCATACAAGCCTTAGGTCAATAAACTTAAACTTGTTCATCTGAGGGTAATCAGCAAAATAAAAGTGTAAGCTACGCTGGGCTCTGGTGATCTTCAGGCCTCGTTCCCTGAGAAGATAAAGGTGTTAAATACTAGTAATACATGAATTTCTATACAGTAACTTACTCTTTTGCTAAGTTAGAATTCTCTGAACCAAAGAGCGAAAGCAAACTGGTGGCACACTCAGCTCATCAGAGGACGGACGTTCGCCACAAACAGCAGAAGAAAGTCGTCGCCTCCCAGAGAGTCACGGGTCATTCATTACAGCCCCCCGCTCCGTCTGGACGCTCCTCCTCCATCACCAGTGGTCGCGCTGGGGTCCTCCGGGACATTCCAGCAGTTCCAGGAGGCGTGTGGGCCTGGGGGGCAGTCAGTGGACACGCTCCGGGCACCTGCGCCCCCGTCAGGTCATCCAGTTGGGAAACTACTCCATCATTTCGCCCAATGAAGAGCAAGAGAAAAGCCGGTAAAGGGATCTGGTCATAGGTCAAGAAACATGTTCTTCTGTGAAAAGTAGACACACATCTCCGCTCGATGCAGAATTGAAGGGTCGTGAAGGAACCTGAAGCTCCTGGCCCCCAACATCTCACCGCACCGATGAAGAGACTTCTAGAAGCAACCCCTCAAAAATGCCGCTTCAGAGATGCCCACAGAGTGCAGGGGTGGGGGGAAGGTGGGGGGATGTGTGGGTTGACATGAGGCCCCTCAGGCCGCGGCCAGTGTGAGTGCCGCCCTCTCCACCTGAGGGAGTTCTGGGGGTGATGGTCTAGTCCTGTCTGCACCCTCAGATGCGGAACAGAAACGAGGCGACCTGCTCCCCACGCTCAGACGCGGAGTCGTCGCTGGGTCTCCAAGCTGGGATTCCGTTCCTCCATGACCGCAGCGCCTGCCGATCCTCCCAGTCAGTCATCGGTCAGTCTGTCTGTCTCTCCACAGAGACTGACACATGGGCGTGCCCACGCGGACACGCACATCTAACCCGAGCACTGCGCTCAGCAGGGCTGGGGCCGCACAGCACTGAATTGAGAGCACACAGCTGCGCACAAGGATACATCCCGCAGCAGAAGGCGCAGGACCTGCTCTTCCAAGGTGGCCGAGACTGACACCACACACAGGCCTGAGAACAGTAGACTTACGGGAGGTAGCGAAACCCAAGCAGATCCCAGGTCACGCTCCCTGCCTGCATTTGCTGCTCAGGAACACGGGTGTGCCCTTCTGTATCCCAACACGCGCAGCAAGAGGCGCAGCACACGGTGGAGGGAAGACATGGGGCCATGAGCAGGGTTCGCCCCGGTACCCAGCTTTAGAGCACCCTTCCCTGGCACGGGCATGTGCAGGTGCGACCTTTCCCGTGAGATGAGGACCGATTTATCCTGCTCAGAGCCAAGATGCGCTGGGTTAAGGGTGGGGTCCCGGGGAGCCGTCGTCTGTGCGCCAGCAGCTGGCCCAGGGACAGGCAGTGGGGACCACATGCACCTCCTCTGGCAAGTAAAGCGTGGGGGAGCAGGCGCAGGCTCCGAGCCGGCCAGATGGCACCGGAACAGCCTGGATGTTGGCTGGACGACTCCAGCGCAGGCTGCCTCCGTAATGGGGCACCCTCGGGGAGACAGAGGCCCAGGAAGTCCTTCTAAAGGGGGAGGTGCCGCTCTTCACAGCTACAGAGGGACCAGCCCCCAGATATTTTGACCCAAATGTTGCAACCAGCTGAGAGAATTGTGCCCCTGGATTTCGCTACTGCGTAAGACGGGCGGCACAGGGAGCTGATGGCGTGTAGTGAGCACCAGAGACTTGTCCCAGCGCCGGTTTCTTCGGGAGAAAGTGAAACTGAAAGAGGCAGCTTTGGGGGGAGACTCACCGCGCCCGGAGCGGCTGGCTTCCCCGGACAGGGCTCCTCTCCTTCCCTTCTCCTTGCCTCCTTGCGCTTCCTGCCACTGTCAATACTGAGCCTCTAGAAGCGCGCGTGGGAGCTCCTGGCGCAGGGTCTAGTACTGGGTACAACACGGCCCCGACTTGGTTCAGGCTTTGGAATCACTTACATTTTGTCCAGAATCCCAGGGTCGCTAACCAGGTGTTACTCCAGGCAGGAGCGCGGAGCGGGCGGCCGGCTCGGAGCAGAGACAGCGCGCTCAGCCGCGTCAGGCCACCTGTTGCCGGGGGAGAAGGGGCAGCCACGACCTCGCGGAGCAGCCTGGCACCGCCCCGACGCATTTAATCGCGTGCGACCTTTAAAATTCAAAAGTGTTTAAAACGGTTTTATTAATGCACCAGAGATATGTACAAGGTCTTAATAATATACATCATTTTCTTTCCAAACAAATCCACGTTAAGAACACGCCCTGCAGCGACGGGACTGGAGGCCTTATTCACGGGATGATCTGCTTTCAGAAACCGCCCGGAGACGAATTCACCGTAGGAGTGACCGCAGAGCAAAACAGCAAAGGGGGACAACGGCGACGGGCAGGGGTTGGGGGGCACGTGCTGGGCCGGGCGCGCCTTCAGAGCTCAAACCTGGAAGACAGAGCGGGTGGCATCTGAGGGGGTGCCGGCCTTCCGCGCTCTCCACTCCTGACCACCGGGTACCTGCTCACCCAACCCCGTCCTTGCAGAGCCATGCCACCGGGAACAGGAAATGGCACGTGCCTACATGGGCACGTGGGGCCAGGCAGAGGGCCCTGGCGCGTGGGCCAAATGCCTGCCTCAGCACAGCCTGGCAGGGAGAGTGATCTCCGGCCAGAGACAGCGAACGCGTCCCCTGCGTGACTCCCCGCCCGGCTCCCGCAGACGTCCAGGGCCTAGAGCTAAGGCCAGGCCCTCCTCTGCCCGGCGACCAGCCAGCTTTGCCCTGGCTGGGGGCGGGGGTGGGGGGAAGATGGGCCCCTCCCTGCGTCCGACGCCTGCCCGGGCCCTCAGAGGAAGGTTCTGGAGCCTATGCTGGTGCAATGAATCGCGCACCGCGACCCACGGCTGTGTTTAGCCTCAGATGAGGGTCTGGGCGCGTGTCGCGGTTTGAGGGATTATTTAAAGAAACCCCGACTCCCTGCCTAGAGCCCACAGCTGAAGGTGGAAACGCAGGCCCGGCTTTTCCACCCGCCGCTTGGCAGAGCTGGAAGGACCACAGGCCCGGCCCCCCGCCCGCGGCCCGAGGGCACTCACTGGACACCCTGGGGATGCGGATCTCCTCGCTGCTGCTCCCGTCCCCGCCGTCGCTCACGGTCCTGATGGCGACCAGGTAGTCCTCCTCCAGCGGGGCCAGCAGCTCGGCCGACGTGTTGTTTGTCTCCAGAACGTGAGCCTTGCCCTGCCGGTTCTGCCGGTACAGAATCTGAACAGGAGGGCGTGTGGGTCAGGGACACGGCGCCGCAGCCCAGGAGCACACGGGCCACGCGGCTTCTCTCTACATTCGCTTAAGGGAAAAAGGCTCCTTTCAGCCACTGCCTCTGACATGAGCACAGATTTGTCTCTGTTGATTAAACAGCTCGGGGCTGTTCTCTGTGGAGCTGGCAGCGAACAGGGGCTTGTGCCCTCTGGACCCACTTCAAGGGGCTGAGGACGGGCACCTGCCCAGAGATGAAGCCCGAGGCGAGGGCCTCTGCCCTGGCCAGACCCCTTTCGTGACACTAAGGGGCCAGCTCCGACGGCAGCCGAAGCTCTAGACACCCCTGGCCTCCTCGCTCTCAGGGCCGCTGTCCACACACACCGCCATTCTGGGAAGGTCAGGGCCGCCGCGTGAAGAAAACACTTCGTGTGCGACACGGATTTTTTTCTTATGCTCCAGACAAGCTACCGGCCTCAGGGTAGGACAGTTTCGGTGAAGAATTTGAAAACAGCGAAGTGTTTTCAAAACAGCCTGGTGGGGGCCTTCGACGCCCCCCCTCCCCCAGTGCCACGGCACGCGCCTCCCTGGCCCCCGGGTAACCTAATGGGCGGGAGAGAAGCCGCGAGAAGGGAATGCCCACCTTGTAGCCCAGCACTTCCGACTCGTTCTCCATGGTCTTCACGTGCTCCCAGTTCAGGCACAGCTTAGAATTCGCCAGCTTCCAGGCAATGTTAGCCGGGGGCTGGCTCGGGGCTTGGAAAAGACAATCACAGACCTAAGTGAACACGAACCAGCCCGCGGTTCCCCCAACCCGCCGACGCGCGTCCATCCTAATGGGGAAGCGGGTCCCTCCAAACCTGCGGACGGGGGTGTCCGTGACAAACTCGACGTGAACCACGGCTAGCGCAGGGTGGATTTATGAGTCACCACCGGCGAGGCTGCTTACTTGGGCGCGTGTGAAAGCTGGCGGGCCCCACGGCCCCGCGCCGGGGCCTGCAGGCAACGAGCATGTCCAGCACCCCCAGGCTGCGGCCTTTACAGAAACCGACAGAGTCCTCTGTCGTCTCTTACTCTGAGCCGTGCCGGCGCTCTTGGGGGGAAGGGACGCCATGACGCAAGGTCTCTGGCACACCTGACTATGACAGGCTGTGAGGATGGAAGGGAAGCTCTTGGAGCTCACGCCGGGCCTCAGCCGGGCCGGCTCTGCTCTCGCTGCTCCCCGTGCTCCTCTCGTCCTGCTTGGCATGTGGTGGGTCCTCACTGCCTGCCAGGCCTGCGGTCTGAAGGCTGCCCCGGCCCAGGCGGGTCTCCCCGGACAGAGCTGAGGAGTGACGGGACCTGCCACGTCTCTTTGGCCCACGATACGGCTGGACAGTGAGGACCCCGGGTGCCACTGAGACAGACCACATGGGCAGCTGTGGCCGACTCGATGAGCACCCGAGTGTACACCGTGGCCTTCAGTGCCCTGAGGGCATGTCATCTGGAGACAGGAGGCGGGAAGCAGGGAGGGCGGCTGTCCATCAGCTTTCTAGAGTAACGGATCTAGTCGGGCGGAGCAGCCTGCGTAGCAGGCGTGGAGGCCACTGATGGGAAGCCAAGCCCGGGGCAGAGCCGAGGACACCGTCCCGCTCTCTTCATTCCCAAGCTGGTGTTGCTCCACCGCCTCATCCTGCTCTCAAAGGACTGAGACTCAAGAAACCAGAGGTTTACAACGATCCAGCTGAACACAGAGGCAAGGCTAGAGCAAGACGTGCCTGCTCCTTCCTCGAATTTCTGAGGTTGAATGAGCACAATATTTTCCTCATTATAACGGAAATGAAAACAATTTTTTCAAAGTTTTTCCTCAACCTCTAATCTTTTAAGTCATGGGGTGGCCACACTGCTTGCCCACAGCCCCTGGCCTCCCAACCCTGATGGACCGGACACCCCTGTTCACCCATGTGCCTGCGCAGGGGCCCAGGGGCCGGAGGGACGCGGTGGTGCGGCAACAGGCTGCCTCACGCTCAGGTCCACACTCGACTGTGTCTCCTCACGCTGGCGTCCAGACACCCCGCCATGCGCATCTTTAGACCACAGGGGTCAGACTCTTCAGCTGCACGTGCCTCCCCAGCACAGAGCGGGGCACACAGAGAGCCGACAGCGCACACTCTCACGTGCTAGACAGATGCACGCTTGGGAGGACCGGGCCCGCTGTGTGGTCTGGGAGGCCGTCCTGGTTCAGTGACCTGTGTCCTGGGCCGAGGGCGGACCCAGCCATTCACCACACGCCCTAGATTCGAGACACCTGCCAACGCACAGCAAGCCGCTGGCCTTGTAACGCGCACAGGACGCGGACCGGCCAGACCGTGACCCCGCAGCCCCTGCCGGGACTGGGGCGTGGCAGCCCGACCCCGCATGCGCTCCAGGCATGTTGGCTGGCTCATCTGCTCTGAAACGCTGGGTGGGAACAGCAATAGTTTTATAACTATTCCTTCTCAGCTCATCCCAAAGTGCCTTTTCTAATCTTTTCCTTGGCTATAAAAGGGATAATATAAAAGTCCTCACCAGATACCACAGTTTTAATATCTAGTATACTCTGGCGACACGTTTCTTTTATCTCTTCTTTAAAATGGAGTGCTAACATTTAACAGCATCGTGCAGTCGACACGGAGAAAACAAGCTCACTCCTTGGATGTCACTGGCAGTGACGGAGTCTTCTGCTATGTCTGCTTCGTTTTGTTTAGATTAAAAAAAAAAAAAAAAAGTTCTGTTTCAACACTTAGACTCTGTCGCAGAAGCTCCCGGCAGGGAGATGGCCTGGCGGTAACCCCGGGGTTTGCATCATCTCACCCTCTGCCCGACCTGGAGGGCGGCCCGGGAGCCAGTGGCCTCTGGAGGTTATCTGGAAGGCTCTACCCCTTGCTGTCTGGGAGGTAGGAGGAGGCGGGCTTGGGGTCAGAGACGTGAACCTGTGTCCAGTCCCCCAAGAGCTGGGGGTCCCCACGTTTCTCAATCGAGGATCAGGTGCGCTGCAGCAAGCCCAAGGAGGAGGCCCAGCGTGGATGGGCAGGTTCTGCTGCTGGCCTCAGGCGCATCTGCTCGGGCCGGGAGCGGCCCTGGGCACTCACCTGCATCTCTGCCGACAGGGCCTTGTGAGGACACGCCACTGCCCGCATCTCACAGGGGGTGGGGGGACACGGAAGGCTGGGTGGCCGCCCAGCCGGGAGGCAGGACCAGGGCCCTGGCGGCAAGGACACGGGGCCTCTGCTCGGCTGCAACCCGTCTGCCCCACTCATGCCCAGAACAGTCTCTCTCCTTGAACCCCGACAGTTTCCCTTGATGGTTAACAGAAAGGCTCTGAGATTATCTGCATCTGAGGGACGAAGCACTAGACCGAACCAGATGCCAGGCACATGGCGATGGGGAGGGGGGCCACTCTGACCTTGGCCCTGAGGGCAGGTACTCACGGGACTTCTTGGTGGTGGCATTGACCGGGGGGCTGGAGGGCCCCGTGCCGGCTGTGTTGAAGGCCCTCACGGAGGCGAAGTAGACAGTGTTGGGTCTCAGCCCCGTGATGTGCGTGGTCGTGACGTTCCCGCCAACCCGCGTCCTGCCAATCATGGCCTCTCCAGGGTCATCTGTCCAGTACAGGACCTGCTCGTGGAAATAACCACAGGCATTCATGGCCTCCACCCGAGCGGCGTGGGACGAGGGGTTCTGATTGCACAAGCCCCACAAGCAAACCACCGAGCCTCACGTGGGTGGGAAAGGAACGAGGCGGCCCAGGCCTGGGGGAAGGTGCAAGTCTGGTTTCCTGGTTGCCCAGAGCAAACCTCAGGCCGGCTGAGCCACCCAAAGGTGCAAGGCTCTGCAGGGAGTGTGCATGAGTGTCCTGCTGAGGGTCCTGCGGGGCACACTGGGAGCCCCCACATCAGTCCCAGCAGCAGGGAAGCAGCACGTCTGACAAGGGGGGCGCCTCCCGCCCCACGACCCAGCTCAGCTGGAGCACACATGTGGAGAGAAGACACACAACGCCCTGCGTGCCAGAGGCGCTGCAGAAGAAAGAAAGGCTGAAGAGACCTGGGGCCGTGAGAGGCTGGCCGGGCAGGGGAGACCAGAGGGAGGCGCCCGGGGATGCCACCCCACCTGACTTTCTGCTCGGACCAGAAAGTTCCAGTAAAAGCAAAGCAAAAGGGTGCAAGGAAAAACGAGGGGGTTCATGGTCATCCTTGAGTTCTAGCTCCAAAGTGAAACCAACCTCATCACCCCCAGAGTGCGCGTCAGCGAGCCTGAGGCCATCACTGGGCCTCAGTCCTCAGCTTGCGAGCAGTGGGGCTGCGGGCCCTGGGCAGGTGCGTGTGGAGCAGCCCAGGCAGGGCCTGTCCACAGCTGCAGAGGGAGAGGCCTTGCCCAGCTCCCCACTCAGGGAGGACAAAGCCACCTGAGCCAGGCATGGCGCCTCCTTCCACGCCAGGACATGCAGTTTCCGGAAAACCTGTTCTGTTCTCACCCCTGCTGCCTGGCCCTGGTGTCCGCCTTCTAAGCAAGCTCCAGTTCACAGGGCAGGCGCCACCCTGAGGGGCAGGTTGGCAGACCAGAGCCCTCCCCAGGGACAGCCACAGCAGGCGGGAGCAGCACCGGCTCCGGTCAATCGGCCACGAGTGGAGGCTGTGGGCAGGTGGGCGGGCGGGACGGCGCTCACCTCGTAGCCCAGCACACGGCCAGTGTTCCTGTTCCAGGCGATGGCGTGCCAGGACACCTCCACCTCCGAGGCCGAGGAGCTCTGCGCGGATGCCCCCCGCGGGGCCAGCTGGGGCTCTGCCAGCAGGAGACGGGGACGGTCAGTGCAGCCCGGGGCCGCAGAGGCCAATGGGCGCTCGTGGGGCCACTCACCGTCCTCCCCCGAGTAGATGATGGAAGCGGGGCTCAGGGGCCCCTCGCCCTCCAGGTTGTAGACGCCCACCTTGACCTCGAAGGGAGAGAGCGGGGCGATGCTCTCGTTGCAGTAAACCAGCCGCGAGGCCTCCACGGTCGGGGCGCGCTCTGCGGTCCAGGCCGCGGCGCCCACAGGCCGGAACAGCACGACGTAGCCGAAGCCCTCGCCGCTCTGCAGCTCCTCCGGGATTGACTGGGGCAGAAGGGCCGACCTCTCAGTGCTCAGAGAAATACCGTCCCGGCCTATGAGAATTCTACTGACTATTTGCATTTCTTTTGTAGAGACAAACAAGATACTTGTTTAATGCGGTACCGGGAAAAAAATACTTTTATTTAAAATGCCTATTAGGAAAATGATTCCAGCTAAAAGCACTGAAATTCGTACGTGGAAATGGAAGAGGCTGAGGTGTTTGTATCCCTTTCTGTGATTACTCCTAAGTCCCTGTAATAACATGGTTTAGAAGATTGCAAGCTTTTATAAGTTAAAACAAAATTTTGATGTGAATTTTTAAACTCAGCACAAATTAACTTACTACTTCAAGGACTGTGTTTTCATTTCACAGCACTTTTCAAATATACTTGTAAGATCAGGTAAAATGATCGCTGTGTGGCATTTGCTAAGGCGGAGAGTTTTGTTCAAACACAAGTATAAAGGGCCTCCCAGTACTTGTTTAAACATGTCAGATAATCACCTGAAATAAGCAAATGAAAATGAATCTGTGCTTCAATTCAGACAAATATCCCACCAGTTTACAACAAAGTTGTATTCAAAAATCCACAGACGGCCTCCCTGGTGGCGCAGGGGTTAAGCGCCAGCACTATGAAGCTACCCGCAGCCACTGCGGCCTGAGTTTGATCCCCGGCCAGGGAGCACCCACAGGGCGCAGCAGACCTCTCCTGTCTCCCCGCTGCTGCCCTCAGCAGTGGATTTCAGTGGATCCGCCTGTTCTGCTCCCCACTCTGTCTCTGGGGAGTCCTCTCACCCCCTGCACCTCTGGCCTGCGCCCCAGCTCTTGTATGCATAAATTAAAAATAAGTCTTTAAAAAAAAAAAATCCACAGACTTCACTTCATTGTTCCAACGGAAAATGTCCCAAATTTTCTTCCTTTTTCTAAATATACTGATAGGATACGGTGCTCTTGCACATCATTTCCAGGACCCATCTCTGAGGTCATCCCCAGCCCGGGATCCCCACTCACAGCACCCCCTTATCTTGCCACTGGGCACATTTGATCACCAGCTGGGTGCCAACACCGGAGCCATCTTGGTGTCCCCTGCCTGGGCAGAGCTGTGTTCTAGAGTGACTAACAGACGCCCGATTCTTCCCCTGCTGAACACGACGCATGGCGGGGGGTGGGGGGGGGTGATGCAGCAGGAGTGCAGAGCGCATGGAGGCACCGGATAACATGGAAAACAGGCAGCGTTTGGCTGCGGGTCGAGCATGAACTGGCAGGGAAGGAAGTGGGAAAACTGAGGCCCAGGCCTGCGGCTGGGGGCCTAGCAGGGCCTGTGGGACATGGGGCCCTCGCACTCAAAACGCCTGGGAAGCTCCTCAGGGGCGAGCTGGGCAAGGCCGAGGCCCCGTGGGCACCACTGCTCTCCGCCAGCAGGCAGCCGGCTGCGGTAATGCTGGGGGCGCGTGGCCCCCAGGGTCCAGGAAAAGCTCCGTCCCCAATGGTCATCCAGAGGACAGAGAACTGCCCCAGCAGGGGCTGGACAGGGCCCGGAGCGCGGCATGGAAGAGCCATTCCGAAGCCACTGGGCCGCACCAGGGCATTCACCAGCCCCCGCGGGGTTCCCTCGGTGCCCCGTTCACCACTAAAATCAGAAAAGGGCCCCCAAGCACGGTCCTATGAAAGGCCAGTATGTGGTCACTTGTCACCCCAGAGTGCCCCCGGAGTCAAGGCAGGGCTGCCGGCAGGCGCCCCCTCCAGCCTCCCGCCCCCGTCACCAGAGTCCTGTGGGGCCAGGCACCGAACAGTTGGAGAGGAAAACCACTGGCTTCGTCGAGAGTCAGAATTCTGTGGGCCGAAGCCAAGCCGAAGGTTGCAATTGGGAGGAGAACGAGACTCTGCTCGGCAGTTGCGACGACGCCCGCGAGAGCGGTGCCTCTGCCTGCGCCCTGTCTCGACGCAGAGAGGACTGGAAGGACCCGGAGGACAAGGGCTGCTCCACCCGCCTCAGCTGGCTCAAGGTCAAGGCCAAGCAGGGTGGCGGCTCCATTGGTGAGAAAGACGCGGCTTCCCGCCCCGGCGTCGCGCACCCGGGAAAGGGCCTGGCCCTGCTCTCTCCGACGGAAACAAGACGTTCCCTCGGTTCCCTCTACGCCCCCCGACCCTCTGTCTGTACAGATTCTCGACACGATCGAGTCACTCCCCTGATCCGCCCGGCATGCTTCCTGGCCAGCTACCTCTTTTCCTGCAAAATGACTCAGCTGGACGGAAACTTACCTCCCACGTGACGACGAGCTCGGAGCGGCCTCCTCCACCCCCATTGACGTTGGTGGGGGCCACGGCAGGGGCTGGGAGCAAAGCAAGAGATGGTGTCAGCCCCGGGCCCGGCCCTCGCCTCCCCAGCCCCACGCAGCTCGTGGCGGGCGGACGCTGCGTTTTTAATGAACATAAATTATGTTTACACAAACCCAAAGTTCTAGAGACAGGACACAGTTGTGCTTGATACATGAGCACCCTGGCTCCAAAATTAATTAAAAATCGAGTAACATCGTGTGTCTGACATTATTATGCACCATCTACTAATTGGCAAAATGATGTTCCGTTCGGATGTGGCGGTGACGCTGCTGATTTAGGGCCTAATTATACACTTGTGCTGTAAACAAGTTGCCGAGGCAGTTTATTAATTAATTATTTTTTCCATAAACAAACTAAAATACTTTTTCTTTTGGTTAGTCATCAGGACATTCTAACATTGAAAAACAAACCCTTAACAACGCATCGAAGTTCCTGTTCAGTGCGGGAGGGGAGGGCTCTGAGCGGACGCCGGGCCGGGGAGCCTGCCAGGCACTGAGTGAGTCAGGGGCACAGTCCCCCAAACCGCCCCGCGAGGACCTGCAGCGAGTGCCGGATGGTGGGAGGAGACAGGCAGCCCCTGCACGCCGGAGGCCACGGAGCCAGGCTGAGCCACGGCCACACGGAGACGTACGCTTTTTGTTGTTATTTTTTCAGGAAAAAATGGCAAAAATATCCTAAATCTGCGATAATGGAAAAGTCTGCAGGATATGCTTTTAAGTGTTGGATTATATGCAATTACATATATTTGACTGTATTTAAGTCAACATGGTGGGCGGGAATGCCTGCAAATGTCTGTTGCAAAAATTGAAATAAGTAAAGTCTGTTCATTGCAGATCTCCTCCCACCCTAGAGACCCTTCAGATCCATGCAGATGGCTTGTGTGATTTATCCCGTTGCAGAGAGATGTCTGACTTGCCAATGAGGCAGTGAAGGAACCATCTAGCTCTCGCCAGCACCTGTCAGACACTCTCCATTTTCAAATTCAGAATTATTTGTCTTCCTTAATCCCCATCACTTATTCAGAAGGTCACCGTGCGCCTCCATCCTACTGGCTAAGCCTCAACGCCGCAGCCAGAGGCAGCGTGAGTCCCTGGGGCTTGGGGCCTGGTCTCCACCCAGCGGCCGTGACACTATCTTGGCCACTATGCAGTTCAAACACATAAAGGAATGGTTTCCAGCTGCTCTTTCAGTTGCCCTTTTGACAAAGCCCAACTTCTGGGTAGGAAAGTTCCGACACAGACTCCATCTTCACATGTGCCACGGAACCCTAACGCCACATTGAGAAGTGGGGTCTGGAGCCCTCTGACCTCAGGTGGGCTGGGCTGGTCGCGGACATATGTCTCCTTACGCTCTGGGGTGTCAGCGGCTGACACAGGGGAGGAGGTCAGCCGGAGGCTACCCCACCGGCCACCAGGACGTCGCCAGAGAGCGGTGCCCCCTGCTGTGCTTGGTGAGGCTCCTGCCTGCCCGGCTCCGCCCCGCCTCCTGCTCGCCTGGACGTGTGCTGGCTCCTGGGCACCTGCACACGGCTGCTGGGGGCTCGGCAACCTTGGCCTCCTCTAGCCATGGGCTTCTCCCCGCAGCTCTGGGCTCCCATCAGGACACCCCTGAAAACCTGGCCTGACAGAACATGCTGGCCCCAGGCTCAAGACGACAACAAAGCAGGAACCCCGTCCTCTGGCGAGGGCGAGATTTACGGTGTCTGGCAGCTGAGCGAGCGTCACGTGGGCACGTGTCTGTCCATCTAAGGGGTGGCACCAGGCCGCCCTGCACTCCCTGCCCGGCTGAGGACATGCAGGGGTCTGCTGCGAGGAGCTCAGAAGCCCCCTCCCCCATGACGACAGGGCTCAGCAGGGAATGGAGGGGGCCTGGGAAGACTAAGAAGGTGTGATTTCTGAACTGCTCCCTTTGGGGTCCCTGCCGGTGCCCTGCTCCATCGCGTCTCTGTTCATTCTTGGCCAACATTGTAATGAAATCAGCAGCAGGTCACGTGCATTTACAAATCTACAGATTCTCTGCTGGGTTTCGGCTAGAAAACAGATGAGAGGAGAGGAGAGCTTCTAAAGGCTCTTCCTTTTGCGGCGCCTGCTTAACGATAAGCATCTCTTACTGAAGGCAGCGCTCGGGAGATAATGCACCTTGCTTTGCACGCATAAAAACGTGAAAATGAGAACCACCAGATCACTGCCTCTGATGTTGAGCCAAAACATGACAAGACTTGTAACAACACTCCTGCTTGTTTTCTTTAAGAACCAGACCACAGGCTGATTCTATGTCATGGCGACTGTGCTGCTGAGAACACGGGAGTGGACACGGGAACTGGCCATACGGACTCGATGGAGTACTACACAGCTATTAAAAAGATGAGCTAGTGCCTTTGGGGACAAAATGGATGGACCTTGAAGTGATTATTTTAAGTGAAGTAAATCAGAAAGTGACAGACACTCATCTGTGGACTATAAATAAGCAAGAAAAATACACTGGCAAAGAGCAGCAAAAACAAATCTGGGCATAAAAAAAAGGTCCAGTTCACCATAGAGAATAGGTGGGGATAGACGGGGTGGGAGAGATGAGGGGATCGTGTGCACACGTGGAGGAGCAAAAATGCAGCCCCAAATGACAACAATAAAACATGTATTTCATTGAAAAACAAAAGAACGACCATAAAGGCCCTTCCAGGCTTTAGAAGACAGGGCCGCTCACCGGCCGCCTTGGTCCTCAGCAGTTCTGAGGGTCTGCTCGGCTCGCCGATGCCAATGCTGTTCCCGGCAACCACACGGAACTCGTACTCCACCCAGGGACTCAGGCCCACCACGGTGGCGTTGTACATCTCCCCGCTGAGAATCTCTGGAACTAGAACGAAGGAGACACTTCAGGAACCTAAGCCGGCATGAAATCGCTCACTCCCCCAGAAGCCCACCCTGTGCACTTCCCGCAGTGACCCCAAGAGCATGACTGACCTGTGGACACGGCCTGCCAGCCCACGGAGAAGGCGGTCCGCGCCTGGACGGCGAATATCTGGACGGGGCTGCTGTTGTCGGGACCCGGCCTCCAGCTGAGCTGAGCCCTGGTGCTGGAGACATGCTCCACGCGCACGCCCTCAGGGGGGCCCGGTGGACCTGGGGACAGATTTGTGATGACTGTCGGGAAGGGCTGGGGTGGCTTATTTTTACCTATGGTGCTTAGAAAGTAAGACGCCGAACGTAAGCGTCCCTGGCGCATTAACTGTGATAAAGCCGCACTGTTATCACTTAGCTCACACGGGGGTGGGGCGTGAGCAGCACCCCAGGGGACCTCATCTCAGAAGCCCAGAGCAGTCCTCGCCCAGGCTTTTGGGAGCCCATGCAGGTGACGCAGCTGAGCCGGCCAGGCCCAGAGTCGCCGCCGTCCACCCCGTTTACCAAGGCGCCTCACACGGACCCAAGCCCCAGTTCAGGGCTGGCCCCGGCCCAGGTGCACTTGCTGGTGGACACACAGCCCAGGCCGTCCGTGCGCTCCCACCAGTACCTGCGCCCGGCTGGAGACGGGAGAAGCCCAGATGCCCCACCCCATGGGGGATGTGGGGTGGCAACCCGCTCCCCCAGAGCTCACCCCGGACAATGACGTCGGCCGCCGCAGACAGGCTGTCCAGCGGGGAGCTGGCTGTGCACACGTACTTCCCGGAGTGGCTTAGCTGGATGTTCCTGATCATCAAGTCCCCGACAGAGGCCTGCAGCGGGCGGGGAGGGGCAAGACTGATCACGCCGCAGCCTGGGCAGCCCGAGGACGCGCACCCTGGAGGCCGGACCTCGGCCAGCCCAGCCTGGTGGCCACGCTCGGCCCCCCTTACACCTGCGGTCGCTGCTGCAGAGCACGCATGTCTCCAGGAGAGACAGGACACGGAGCCACGTGCCGTGAGTGCTTGGGGCCGCCACGCAGATGAGCACAAGGGTGAAGGATGCTGATTTGTGTGAGAGGATTCACCTCACTAAGCACTTAAAACCCAGCAACTTACCCCCCCAATCCTTTCAAAATGAGAGGCGCCTCTCCGCAGGTCTATGGCGGCGCCGTTGAAGGACCATCGGAAGGCGACGTCCACGGAGGGGTCGTGGGAGGCCTGGCACGGCAGCACGATGCTCTCCCCCACCGTCACGTCCATGCTGGGAGGCGGGGCGCTGAGGACCGTCCTCTCTGTGGGGGGACAGACGCTGGTCAGGGGCCGGTGGGCCGGGTCTGGGCCACCGATGCCGCAGGTTCTGTGAGCCTTGGAGAGTGAAAAGACGACTTGGAGCCAACACGTCCCAAAGGAAACTATTCGGTTCCCCGTCAAACATTTTTGCACTAATCATGTCATAAAATCCTGGACCGTTTCATTCATGCTTTATGCGAAGCTCACGTGTACAGAAAACGGCGGCTCTCAAGGGCAGCGCTGGCGCGGGAGGAGCCCGCTGTCCTCAGACCTCACTGCTTCTTCGTGCCGAGGCTCCGGGCGGTGTCACCGCGCCCGCTGCCGGTGAGACACGCTGTGTCCCCGAGGCCGTAAGGACCCGCGTGTGCAGAGAGATAACCGCGAGCTTATACTCACAAGGGAGCGCAGGATAGATTTTTCACTTTTGCAGAGTCGTGACAACCGTCTCCCACCCTAGTTAAAAACCCGCTGTGAAGCGGGAAAGCGACAGGCCTCCTGCTCAGCCCCGAGCCCGGTCTGCTGCGCTGACCACCCTCACCCACGCCAGCCCCACGCGGCCTCCTCGAAACCTGCACGCCACAGACTCACGCTTCAGAGGACAGCCCCGTGGGGCCTCAGCTGAGAATCCTACATTTTCCTGCTTGAGAGACATGTGGTGATCGGAAATGTTCGACTTTTTTTTTTTAATAACCAAGCAATGCTGAGTTAGAGGGTGAAGAAATGACCGCGAGGGCAGTGGCTCGCCACGCAGATGCCCCATCGCACCCGATAACTTGCCGTAAGAGATGAGCGTCCAGGGCTTAGGGATCTGGACAAACTACTGCGCAAGAAAATGGCACATGAAGTTTCCAAGCAGTGAGAGGGACCCCTGGCAAATCTCTCTCTCAAGTCTGTGTACAAGGAGAGAAACTAGAAGCTTCATTTCCCTCCTAGTTCTTCAAGCTGCTCGAGGCCCGGGCGCCGAGACTGAAGGTCTGTGTCTGGGATCTGGGAGCCCTGAGCTCCGTCCTCACAACGCTGGGCTGGGCGCTGCTCCAACATTTTAAAATGCCACGTTTCCTTAACAAAGACCTGGGGGTGGGAAGCAGGAAGTAATAATCTCGGGTTTCAGGCACACGCTGGGAAAAGAGCCTGGAGAAGACAGCACATTTCTGAGGACAATGGAGAAAGCGGAGTTCAGGCTGCGCACAGATGGGCCTTCACGGGCGCGCGCCTCAGCAGTTACTTGTCTCCTCCTCGTTAGATCAGATGCATGCAATATTTATTCTAATCATTTCTGGGAAAAAGTCTGAAGAGTGGTTTTGTGGACAAGCTCAGTTTTAACCACAAGTCTTCACGTCTCTGCCCCAGAGTGAGAACAAGAGGTGGTGGGCTTCGGAAGAGCCTTCCCGTCTCAGGGGTGTGAACCCCGCGGTCTCTCCGGGAAAGTCGAGCTCAGTCTCATTCACACTTGTGGGAGGAGCCAGCTAATTGCACGTGCTGGTGGAGCAAAACTGCTCTGATTCACAGTTTTACATCATGCAATTAAGGCAATTTTCAAACATTAAAGATGACAGCCCCCCTTTCCACACGGTGGAAAGTGGGGAGCGCCCCCGCCACCCCCAGCTCATGGTTGTGCGGGATGGAAAGGTGGACTCAGGGGCCAGCAATGCCGCCCTCCTAGCCCATGAGGCTCACGAGCAGTCACTACTTTGTTCAGTTATTAAATAACATTGATGGAGAACTGCCACATCCTGGTGTCACTAAATATTAGAAACAGAATGAGGAGGAAGAGGAAAAGAAGCCAACCGTTCACCTGGGAGACTGCAGCCCCGAGAGCAAGGCCCAGATCAGCTCCGAGACTGAGGTGGTGGTGGGTGTGCCTGGGCTGGAGGAAAGGCTCCAGGGAATGGGTTCCATTGTATTCCAAGGTTTCCCCCCAGAGCCTGAGGGGTCATTTCACCTGGGAGAGGAAGGCAAAGGCTGGCCAGGTAAGGCGCTGGTGGGGGGCGGAGGGGGGGGGAGTGCCCCTGCAGGCCAGTCCTCCCCAGAGGAAGCCTGGCATCTTTCGAGCTTCTTTCCTTGAAATAAACCAGAGGGACAGTTTCTATTTCATAGCATTTTATTCTTCTTGCATATTCTTTAAGTAACTCTAGAAATTCTAGTCCGATAGTTTAAAAAAAAAAATCACTGTGCATATAAATTTCCTCAAACTGTGAATTTCCCGCCCCGCCATGACACTGACTGAGCCGTCTGCGCGGGAGCCCGGGAAGTGGGCTTCTGACAGTGGCTTCTTCAGGTGATTTTCACGCAGTTTGTTGCGGGGCCATGTTTTGAGAAATATTGCCTCAGGTTTTGAAATCTGAACCTGAAATTTCTACTTAAGCAAAACACAAGCCAGCTAACACACTGCCACCAAGTCTCGCTCTGCACCCAGGACGGCGTCCTGTCTAATACAGGGTCACTGGTTAGCAGCGCCGCAAGGAAGTCTAGATGGATTTCCAAGCCATCCGACTGGAGCTAATTCTGTGCACTGGATCTGCTGTGCGTTTCCCAGCACAGTTTATTTAGCATATTCAAAGCTCCAAGAACGACTGTTTTTAGGAAACAGCATAACTACATTTACCAGTTTATGAAACATTTTTAATCTATGTGACATCTCTTAATTCATTCTGGGGTACAAGCAATTCAGAGAAACAATATTTGGAAATTTCACTCCACGGCTGAGGAGTTAACACACAGTTCCTATGCACGTGCGCGTGCGAGCGTGTGCAGGCAGCTGGCATACACGCGGACATTGCATTGAGTCAGCCCTGTAAGTCTGACCTCTAAAACATTTGGGAAAAAATGTTGATTTTTTTTCTCTTTTTAATTATTTTTTTAAAGATTTATTTTCTTTATGTATGCATACAAAGGCTGGGTGCAGACCAGAGATTTTTTTAAGAGGAGAGTCTTGTTATGCTAACAAAGTCCCCTCCTTGACCTGAGGGATTTGCTTCCAGCTTATCTGTGGTGGCATCCAGGATGACAGGAATGTGAGTGTCTGTGGCTGGTGGGCAGCTGGGAGCGCCTTTTCTGTGTGTTTGTGACTTTGAACTATTACACAGGAAGGCAGCAGTGGAGGTCGGGAGCTGCCCTGAGGAGGCGCATTTCCACTCAGCTGCCTCAGTGATGGGGCGGAGTGCCAAGAGGTCACAAGTCACGGAGCCTCACATTTCAGAACTTCAGCAGTGACCACTCTAGCCTCTTCCATGAGACGAACGCCACGTGTAAACAGCTCGATCTAACGATCCTTTCCTCACGTACAAGAAAAGTCTAACAAAATAGTGAGCTCATGATGAACAGCCGCTCGAAAGCCCATCCCTCAAACAGCCAGTGATGTTTCCAGAACATTGTCAATGCCAAGCACCTCAGGAGACATCGGAACTTGTGGTCTCAAAATGTCTGTCAGAGCTGCTGGGCCTGGTGTCTCGGCACACCCAGGACACATCCCAGTCCGGTGGCCCGGCCGGCGGCAGGTCTGCTCCCTGCTGCCTGTCAGGAGCCAGGGGCCGAGTTTGTTATTTTTGGTCACTTTGTACTTGTCTTGTGCACCTTGAACTCAACTGAAATCTCAATCCGTGGGTGAAAGCTCCGTGTCATGGCTCAGAGTAAATGCTCACCAGGTGACTGAGTTATTGGCTCCCCCAGAAGATGGACAATGTGTAAGAAAAATGACCAGGCCTTGTCCTCGGAGCAGACAGATGATGCAGCCTCTGCCCGTCCATGGCGTTGGAGGGAAGTTGCCAACACTGATATAAAGGGGACGAGAGCAAAAAGAGCACTTCCACAGGCGCCACAATCCTGTTTTCTCTCACCGGGTAACTTGTGGAGACTAGAGATACCTTTAAAATGTAGCACTTCTTCCCTGGGCGTCTCCCATCAGCCCGCCAAGTCCTGCTCCAAGGCCGGAATTCCTTTCCCCACTCAGATGCTTCAGTGCGGCCCTGCCCCTAGGCCCCAGGACTCCACCGCACCCCCGGGCGCGGCCTCTCCCTCTGTCTTCACTGGGTGGACATCTCTGTTGGGAATGGAATTCTTACCGGTGTGTCTTTTGGTCCTGGAAGCACTTTCTGGATTCCCTGGTCCCGGTTGCCATGTCAACAGCCAGCCTCACTGCTGCTCCCTTGAAGGCCGGGCCTCTTTCCAGCAGGCTCTCCCCGCCTTTGCTTTCCCTACCGAGTGCTTGTCCAGGCCGTCCTGGGCAGTAAGCCTCACCGGGCTCAGGGCTCCTGCAGGACAGCTGCTGCCCTTCTGGGTCTTTAATCTGGCAAGTGTTTCCTTCAACACCGCCCTGGCTCTCCTCCTCCCTCCCGGGACCAGCGGTGCAGATGTCAGCACCGTGCAGGACACCCAGCCCGAGGGCACCCTGCTCCTCCGTCCACCCAGCCCCCTCCACCCCGACGGCTGTCCCGCGCCCTCCCCGCCCCGTCCCATCTTCCCTCTGGTCCGAGCTGGGCGGAAACCAACCCAGAATCTTTAACTTTAGAGTTTGTATTTTTCAGATGTCCAACTGATTTTTAACACATAGTGTTTCTTTTCTGAAATTCTCCATGCCAGCCTTTATTTTTTGACCACATTAATCATAATTAGTATTTTTTTTCAGCATGTGGCAAACCGTTCTCATCATGGCAGCACCATGCGACCCTGCGACTCCAGGCATCGCCCCAAACACGGACGCGAGGCTCCCGCGCCCGCCCACAGCAGCAGCGTCCAGGCGGGGGCGCGGGGACCCGGGGCCGGACACGCAGTCCGGAAGTCACAGACATGGCCACTTGCTAGACAGAGAGCAGCGGCTTTGGGGACAAAATGGATGATCTTGAGGTGCTGACGCTCAGCGGAGTGAGTCAGCAAGAGAAAGAACATTCTGGATGGTCTCACTCACGTGTTGTTACACATCACCAGGGGAAAGAAACTGGCAAACATCAGGAAGAATTCATGGACAGCATGGGACAGAAACTGGTTGCCAGAGAGGGCTGCAGAG